TATGTTTAATGTATGTACCAAATTTGAACAAAATCCATCCATGCATAACTGAGATCCCGGGTCCGGAATGGTGAAAATGTGCGATTTCAATGCATTTTCGGCTTTAAAGCGGCCGCTATTTGGCTATCGTTAATGAGATCATGAAACAAATGCACATACATATTTGTGACATGATGTACCTTGTGTGTGTGAAGTTTGAACTCTATCAATCCAAGCATGTCTCAGATACGAATACAGAACTGAATTCTTTAAAACAAAATGGCCGCCAGTCGGCCATTTCGAACCCGATCCAAAAAAAAAAAATGACGTGCATCAAGGTCCTATTATGTTTAATGTATGTACCAAATTTGAACAAAATCCGTCCATGCATAACTGAGATCCGGGTCCGGAATGGTGAAAATGTGTGATTTTGATGCATTTTCGGCCTTAAAATGGCCGCTATTCGGCTATCGTTAATCGGATCATGAAAAAAATGCATGTGCATATGTCCCATATAATGTGTGATGTATGAGTGAAGTTTGAACTTAATCGGTCCATGCATGTTCGAGATACAGGTGATCACGGACGCACGGACGCACACAGGGCAAAACAAAAGTCCCCGTTTTCGGACTGCGTCCGAACGGGGACTAATAATGACTTACATTGTCCCTGAGAAGAAACGCTGAACACTGTAGTGTTTGAAGTAAAGATGTGTGTGAATGAATACAAGAATGAAATAATGACTTACATTGTCCCTGAGAAGAAACGCTGAACACTGTAGTGTTTGAAGTAAAGATGTGTGTGAATGAATACAAGGATGAGATAACGACTTACATTGTCCCTGAGAAGAAATGCTGAACACTGTAGTGGCACTCCCATCATTTTATGTTGACACCAAGCTAACGAGTTACTACGTTCCACTCCATCTAAAAGATGACGCCATTTTCGTGACATCACAGATGATCCACCCCAACATGCCTGTAACACAAAATAAACAAGTCAAAAACAAGTTTCTAGCATGAGAGTTGATCTACAACTTTTGACACTATTTGCTGACAGGAACTATATAGACTTGAAAACAAAATTTCAAAAATACAATTTTTGGAAGATCAACTCCAAATTCCATGCAGGCCAACTAGACAGATTAACAATATATACAAGTTTGATGGCGAACAGGTGAATATTATTGGAGTTATCATGCCCACAAAACACAATTACGACAACGATGACAGCACTTTGCCACTATGACATTTACTTAACTACGGGCAAACCAAAAATATTGTGAGCAATAGTGTGTGTTTGTGTACTGCTAGTTATCTTTTCAAATTTTGAAAGAATTTTACTGAATACTTACATCAACATGAAGCCACATATCATGTTGTTCACATATGTCTGCCAACTTATTGAGTGGATCAAATGCACCAAATACTGTAGTACCACTGGTGGCATTCACAAAGAAAGGAACATGACCCTAAAATATAATATTATCAAGTAATTGCATTATATAGTCTTTCTACACTTTTTTCTTATATTCTTCAATATTTCTGAAAATGACCCTCATTTTGGAACCATAGTTAAAATTTGAGTAAATTTTCAATTACTCAAAAAATTTGGTATTTTTTGTCCCAATCTTCTGAAAGAAAGCTCAGACTATAAACAGGAATAGTTTGTGATGAAAAGAGGGAACTGGCTTCACAAACCAGTAGAACAATGTGACTTGCATCAATGTTTTGTGTTAAGTTTGAATAAAATCTATGAAAAACCAAGATCTGGTTTTGGAATAAAAGAAATGCTTGAGTTTGACGATGTTTTGATGAACAGTAAAATGGCTGCAAATTAATACAGATTGTTACGACACAAAATTTTATGGGATTTTACGAACCTGACTTTTGGCTAATTCAATCTGTCTTTCGAGGTCTTCCGGAATCATTCGTCCTCTGTAATTCAAATAAAAAACAAGCCATGCATGGCACATTCCCCGTTAGTTACAGTACAGTTCTCGTGAAAGCTTCATTGTCGCCTCGGCATCACATCATTGTGGCATCAGCTTCGCGTCATTGAAAATTGAAGCTGTGTTCGCCTCGCTTATTTTGTGGCATCATCGTGGCCTCAGCTTCGCAGTCTCATGGCATCATCGTGGCCTCAGCTTCAAAGTATTGTGACACGAGTATGACCTCATTATTTTCACACGGAAAGGCAGAAGAGAAAAACGCATGTACAGAAGTTCGATATGTAATCGATTTGAAATTCAAGGCGGTAAAGGGAATAAAATAATATGACCAAGAGTAAAATGACATTTTAAAAAGATATCTTGTTTAACTATTTAATGTTGCAAGTATTGGGTACCAAAAACTATGTGAAGTACATTGCAATCTGCAAGGTAACGAGTGTCATATTGACTGCAAGGAAAATCGTGATAAATTTTAATCACACGATGCAATAGTCGTTCAGATACAACACAATTTGCTATACAAAATGAAACTGTTCTTGTTATAAAATTACTTTATCTTCATTCATTTTATTTGCTGGTAAGAGTACAGATTCAGATTCCTCAATTCGGTGGTATTTTTCTGTGTTTCGTTTAGTTTTAGTTGAGTCCGATCCCATGCCCGAACTACTAATACATGCAAAACACGCGTACGCTGCCTGGTACGTCGGCGTTGTCGCCTGCCGTCTTGATACAAAGTTCCAAAACAAGTACGTACATTTCTAACTATGATTAGATGGTTGTGGTGGCGTCGGTCTGGTAAAATTTTACATCCAATTTTCAAAATTAAGTCACGATCAGTGACCTGAGCTTGATCTATGCGTATTTTAAAAGTATTCTCACAAAAATATTTTCGAATAAAAACGAGCCACATGCCAATGTAAAAAAAAATCGAATAGCACGTGACATGCAGAAATAATTTATTGGGCTTCAGAAAAAAACCTGTCCATTTAGTTGTAGCCGTAAATATTTGGTGACCAGTCGATGAACAATTTGAAACTCATGATACACACGGAAGTCCTTCGATACTGAATATCATAGACCCCCAATCTGGTTTACCTTATTTCCCAACTTGCAAAACTGATTTGTATCTCAGCCCATTTTTTTTTCTTTTTTTGAACTGAGGTCAAATCTCAGTCTGTTGTCAAAATATACCGATGTTTTTCAGTGAATAATTGTGAAGCCTATCACAGCACAAAAAACTATGTGAATCAACGCCAGAGATTGGATGGTACGACGACCCTTAAATTAGCGTCAAATATGCTTTGTTACAACATCATTGGTTGGCCGAGAGTCACCTGGGTCACAGAACCATATTTGTCCGTATTATCTACGGGACTTTGCGAGAGTACCACACCCACACTTTCAACCATTTTTAGCGTGGAAGTTGCTAACAAATGTCGAAAAACTCTTGAATTTTATGGATTTGAATAAAATAAAACTAACGACTGGTAAGACTGGTTAATAATATATCCCCGATGGGCTTTGAATTTTTTTATTTTATTTCAAGGTGAGAAATGGATAATTGAAGTTCCATCGATTTCAAGGCGACTGTTTTACCGCGACAACTCTACGCTGTGTTGTAGTTTCGCGAGGTAAAAATATATATAATAAATAGTACTTGTTTAATGATTTGGTTTTACAGCCCGCAAATTACGGGACATGATCCCCCATGAATTACGATAAATAAATGCTGATTGTATTGAATGACGGACTTCGGGACCGTTTGGAGAAACCAACGAGGATCGATATTCCAAACAAATTATTGGGACACGGTCGGTAGACATTTCAAACAAGTCATTGTCAATGACACGTCCCTGTTCCGTTCATATTTGAGTGACATATACATTCAAAGCAGATCATGACCGAAATGCACCTGCATATGTACAACACATTGTGCTAAATCTGAAC